TACTGCCTTGGTTACATGCTGAATAAATGTAAGCGGGAAACAGAGAAGTGAAGGCAGACTGTTGAGGACCTTTTGCCAGTCCGGCGGGACCGGCACTTCCTGACTGCATGGTCCGAAGGTACATACATACGTGCCTTTGCGGGGGAGCTGAAAGCTCAAAGACACGCAATAATTAATTTTCAAAAATTGGGGCTCAGCCTTTTTGCCCCCCCCCCCCCCCTCTCCCTACCTTGTTCCCAAAGCACTTGTACATGTGTTCAATTGTATAGCTTGTCAATAATTCAGAACCTTTGAAACCCATACAGGAACCATGAACAGCCATCGGGCCACACAGACGAGCAGACGGTACCACGTGGCGTGACCCACCCAGAGCTCGTCGGGCACATTGGTGGCCCGTCATATCGTAATACGCCTCAGCGGAGGTGTGGCGGGGCAGCCCATTACAGAATTGGCCGGGCACAAAGACGGGCCGCGGCCGGTGCCGAGCGCGGTGTGGGCGCAGGGGACCACCTCGCACCAGCACTGAGCGAGCGGCGGCGTGCGGCGGCCGGGACCTGTTGGCAGCCGGGCGGGACGAGCACGACGAGCGGACGGGGACGGCCGCGGCCGGCAGCCGTCATATCCTGCGGCTGCTCCCGCCGGGATCCACGTACGCCCGGTCAATAGTCGGCGCTCGGCGCTCTGCCGCCGCTCCGCCGCTCTGCCCGCCGTCGTCGCCCGTGCAACCCAGGCACCCGACGGTCGTCGCCCGTGCAACCCAGGCGCCCGACGGTCGTCGCCCGTGCAACCCAGGCGCCCGACGGTCGTCGCCCGTGCAACCCAGGCGCCCGACGGTCGTCGCCCGTGCATCCCAGGCGCCCGACGGTCGTCGCCCGTGCAACTCAGGCGCCCGACGGTCGTCGCCCGTGCATCCCAGGCGCCCGACGGTCGTCGCCTCACCCCTCCGCCGCTGCAGTCGGTCCAAATAGGCTCCGTTCCTCAGGACACGATGGTTTAGTGGCTGGATAGCTATTTGTGGTTTCTGATTGCCGTATCTCATCTCATCCGGCCCCCTCGACGCGCCTTCCCGACGCAGGGGTCGCCGCCGCCCGCTCCTCAGGAGGGTGGGAAGTCCTGAGACTACCGTTCTCCTGGTGTCGGTCGCCGCCGCCCGCTCCTCAGGAGGGTGGGGAGTCCTGTGACCACCGCTCTCCTGGTGTCGGTCACCACCGCTCGCTTCTCAGAAGGGTGGGGGAATCCTTCAGCTGCCCCTCCTCTGGCGCAGACCACCGCCGCCCGCTTCTCAGGAGGGTGGGGGAGGCCTGTGACTGCCCCCCCCCCCTTCCTCTGGCGCAGACCACCGTCGCCCGCTTCTCAGGAGGGTGGAGGAGGCCTGTGACTGCCCCTCCTCTGGCGCAGACCACCGCCGCCGCGCTTCTCAGGAGGGTGGGGGAATCCTTCAGCTTGCCCCTCCTCTGGCGCAGACCACCGCCGCCCGCCTCTCAGGAGGGGGGGGGGGAATCCTTCAGCTGCCCCTCCTCTGGCGCAAACCACCTTCGCGCCCGCCTCTCAGGAGGGCGGGGGAGTCCTGTGACAGCCCCTCCTCTGGCGCAGACCACCGTCGCCCGCTTCTCAGGAGGGTGGGGAGTCCTGTGGCTACCCCTTCCCTGGTGAAGGCCACCGTCGCCCGCTTCTCGGGAGGGTGGGGGAGTCCTGTGGCTACCCCTCCTCTGGTGCAGACCACCGTCGCCCGCTTCTCGGGAGGGTGGGGGAGTCCTGTGGCTGCCCCTCCTCTGGTGCAGACCACCGTCGCCCGCTTCTCAGGAGGGTGGGGAGTCCTGTGGCCACCCCTCCCCTGGAGAAGGCCACCGCCGCCCGCTTCTCAGGAGGGTGGGGAGTCCTGTGGCTACCCCTCCTCTGGTGCAGACCACCGTCGCCCGCTTCTCGGGAGGGTGGGGGAGTCCTGTTGCTACCCCTCCCCTGGTCCTGGCCACGGCCGTTCGTTTATCGGACCGGCCCGGAGGGGTCTCACGCGTTATCAGACGGGCCCGGAGGGGTCTCACGCGTTATCAGACGGGCCCGGAGGGCTCTCACGCGTTATCAGACCGGCCCGGAGGGGTCTCACGCGTTATCAGACCGGCCCGGAGGGGTCTCACGCGTTATCAGACCGGCCCGGAGCGGTCTCACGCGTTATCAGACCGGCCCGGAGGGGTCTCACGCCTTATCAGACCGGCCCGGAGGGGTCTCACGCGTTATCAGACCGGCCCGGAGGGGTCTCACGCGTTATCAGACCGGCCCGGAGGGGTCTCACGCGTTATCAGACCGGCCCGGAGGGGTCTCACGCGTTATCAGACCGGCCCGGAGGGGTCCCACGCATTATCAGACCGGCCCGGAGGGGTCTCACGCGTTATCAGACCGGCCCGGAGGGGTCTCACGCGTTCGCCTACCCCTCAGGTGCGAGCTGGCGGGACCTCTGATCGCTGGGCACAGGTAGGCCAAACTTGCTTCCGGCTCAGAGGCGAGCGCACAATCCCAGAGCTCCGCACGAGTCGTGACGACGGCATTCTGAAATACGCCTCTGCGAGCTCAAAGCGAGGCGTAGAAGGCCGTCGAAAGACTGCGGACCTATGAGATCGATTATTTGTTATTATATGCAAATACGCCTCTAAGAACTCGGAACGAAGGGGAGCAGGCCATGTGAAGACTGGACTTAAGATTGATTATTTGTTATTATGTGCAAATACCTTTCTAGCGACTCGGAACGAAGGGGAGCAGGCCGTGTGAAGACTGCGGACTTACGGCACCAATTATTTGTTATTAGAGGAGTGTGCAGAGTAGCCCAGAATGCGGAAGCACATAATATATGCAAAATTGAGTCTGAATTTTGCAGCATATTTCCTCTCCACTGCCTCCAAGAGCGGGAACGCATCCAAAGTGGAGAGGGGTGACAACGCTGCTTGAACCTTCACAACTAATTTCTTACCGCGGAAGACCCCAGGGTTCGCTTAATTTGTATAAGGCTGAGAGCATAGAGCATGTATCAGGCTGAGAGCAGCGGTAGCTTCCAGCTTTCACCCCCATGTCTTATAATATTTCTGGGTTGTTATAGCAATGCTTTGGGCTTATGGAGTCGATAATTGCAGCTTTGCCTACCATTGGTTTTATTGTTTGATGAAAACAATGCACTAGCACGCACACACGCACGCAGCACAATCGACCAGGGCAAGACAAACCATTACGCAAACGACTATTAGTGACGTCGCGTCACAGATATGGGACAACATCAGGCGCCATTTTGTGAGCCAATGTGGCTCGCCGATGAAAACCGGGTGACCAGTTACAGAGCATGGAGCTTGCTTATAATGTCACACACACTGCCGTGGTGCCAGATTGCAAATTAGGTCTGCAGTTTGCCCCACAGCAAGAAAATAATATGCCGGTAAAATGACTAAAAACATGGGATGGCCTAGCTTTCAGCTTATTCGTAGTTCGGCTTCATGACTGTACAGCGAGGGTTAGACAAAAGGTTGAACCCGTCGAATAAACCTAGTCTAATCCATTAGTTTTAGAAGAGAAGACATGGTAAATGACATGACTTCAACAGCACAAGGGTGGTTGAAGCATCCTTGATCACAACATTAGAGGAAAAGGAGACATAGATGGCTCGACGTACAAGGCATGGCTACAAAGTAAGCACGCACAGTGTGTCAATGTGGCCTGTTAGATATACTGTTACTTCCAAACAAAACAAGGAGTGTGTTATCTGAGATGGCGATCCCAAAAATCCGAATCCGACCGGTGCCATTACATAGCCTGAATCAGAACGGTTCTTGCAATACGACTAGAAGTCGCATCCTGGCTGAATCCCGACCCAGAACTCAAAACTAAGGATATCGGGTTAAAACCTATTTTTGTGTTGTTTTTTCTCTTGTCTGCTGTACACCAGCCATTAGCAGCTTAAAACGGCATGGGATCCACGACACATCGCCACATACATCTCAATGCGATGGCTGACTTGTAATAAGATGATAAATATTTTATCGACACTCAGTGCACAAAGTAGCCGCTTCGCCAATTACCAGGGAAAGCCAAGAACATGTGGTGCACTGGCAGCAAGCCTGACTGTCCTAAACATTCCTATGCCGCACCGCACATGCGGGTTGGGACCCCATCCCACGCGCTCCCAGTCGGCCACGCCGCCGCGAACGGTCAGATCCAGCTCCCGCCTCCCACTGTTGTACGGCCGTTCTGCGGTCGTCCCCGGCCGCGCGCTGCCAGTCGGCCGCGCCGCCGCGAGCGGTCAGATCCAGCTCCCACTTCCCACCGTTGTACGGCCGTTCCGCGGTCGTCCTCGGCGCCTTGGCCGCTCGCCGATCCGGCCATAAATCGTGGCAGGAGGAGCGCCGGCGGCCAAATGAGCGCTGCCCAACGAGCGGCGCCCGAGGAGCGCTCTAATACCTGGGCGCTACCGGCCCCGCCCAATCTCTGGCCGATGCTCTGATCCCATTTGGCGCGACGGCCGCGCGGAACGCCGACTGGCCGGTTCCTGTCGCCCAAGATCATCTGCTGTCGCCGCCAGGGAGACGGAGAACGCGAGGGCGTGCCTCTGGTACGCACCGCTGGACGGCTCGGAGAAGTCACGCTTAACGAATGCCACGGCCTGGATGACGCCTAGTAAGTGGTCCAGCATATATGCGCTCCCAGTTTTAGGCGTCAGTTGTTGCTTTCAATGCGCACTTAAATTCCTGAAATTGGCTTTGATAATGGAAAAGGCCTGTTCATCCATTAAGTTACTGCCAACTGTTCTTTCTTCATTCCGTGCCTAGTTTTATAACTCCTGGTAAGCCGTCTTGTTCTGGCCTCCTGTTCACCACATCAGCGAAGAGCAATTCTCCGCACGGGGGGGGGGGAGGGGGGGGGGGGGGGCGGCTCGTGCACGGTGCGTCCCCAGCCACCAGCACACGCATCCCGGCTGCTTGAACCGCCACGCTGCAGCGCATGTCGGCCGGCGTTCGACTGACCTTGTCGTAGAATTCTGCGCTGCTGAGCTCGTTCTCCAGCACCATCATACCGATGCCGAACATGCCCATGACCAAGGCGTAGTCACTGATACGTTTCCTCTTCTCGAAGAGTGCCTTTCTCCGACCCAACCTGCCGGAAAAGAGGCACGATTTCCAGGGGCGCAATGAGACAGGCAGAAAGAAGACAGTTCGATAGCGTGGGAAGGAGTCGGAGGCAAAGGAAAGAGATACGGGCTAGTGATAACGTAGTTAGTTAGACAGGAGAGGATGATAGCGCTGCGTAGAAAGTGAGATGGGAGGGAAGACAAAACGACGGTGGGAAGGAATACGGAGATTAGAGGGAAAATGGAAGAGAGAGAGAGAGAGAGAGAGAGAGGGAGAGAAAGACAGAAAGAGAGAGGGTGAGAGAGAGAAAGAGAGAAAGAGTGAGAGAGAGAGAAGGAGAGAGGGAGGGAGGGAAGGGAGGGAGGGAGGGAGGGAGAGAGGGAATGTGAATGCGCATTCATAAATGGACTAATTCTGCCAGAATCGAAGTTGAAGCTATGTCGCTGGGCAGAGCTTGATGACAACCCCACCATAATCACTGGATCGGGGCCATTAACACGAGGTCGTTAGGCGCGGTTGTTTAAATTATGAAGTTTGCATAACTTCGTTGTCTACCAGGCATAGTTTGACGTCTGAAGAACAGTATGCATCATAAATGCGGAATATGCTGAGCCCTTTGATACCGTTAAAACCCCCGAAACGGACGAAGAACTTAGCATCGGCACCATAACTTTGTATGGTTTAGAAGTTAGGTTTGAATGAAAACGCTTACAAATTGGATCAAATTCGATTACTACGAACAACAGCTCGGCTAAAGCGACTTACATCATCATTGACGAAGCGACCAAAACCATCCCCATCCTGACAGACCGCATGCTTTCGTGACCTGACGACCCGACCCGACCGTCCGGTGACCCGCCCCGCCCCGGACCGCGCCCCGACCGCTGACCTGTAGCCGACGGACGGCTTCTGGGCTTTGGGCAGCTTGCGTTCGTCGGCGTAGCGAGGATACTCGCTGTGAACGCCGACCAGCGCGATGCCGGGGTCCTCGCCCTCCTTGAGGCCGCTGGCGGCGCCGGCCGAACACCTCATGGCGCCCGGTATGGAGAGCGTCGACACCGGCTTCCGCAGCTGCGCACACCCGGGTCAGAGGTTACGACACGGGCGAGCGCCGGTCACCGGGTGACAGCGTCACGGCGAGCTGCACGCGTCAGGGGGCGCCATCAAGGCTTTCAACGTCACCGTGCCACTTCTGCTGTCGAGTCAGCGGCGGTCGCTGTCCCCCGGCGTCCAGTCTCCTCAAATCAAAAAGCGATGTTGGTGATACATGTGTTACCATCTACACAGATGTCATTGTGGTATGGCAGTCATTGGCGCCAGTCTGCGATTATTGTCGTGCGCACGGCTGTTATTGTCCACCACGTCGCGACTGGCTCCGTAGCCGTCGTTGTTCATGCAGCTGTTGCCATTCCTACAGCAGCTTCCACCAGCACAGCTATTACAGTCCGATGGTCCACACGACGGGGGCAACCGTCACCACATAGAAGACATTATGTGCTCGGTGTTCATCGTCTGAACCCATGATGGTCATTGTTACGAGCCCACAGCGGTTACTGCTACCTCTCCCCCCATGGCGGTCACTGTCATTAGCCCAAAGATGTCACCATGGCGTGCGGTGTCATCACCATCAGCCAACGGCGGCTCATGCCATCAGTCTGCAGGAGTTCCTGTCTCCAGTCCACGGTCGACATCGTCAACCCACGCTGTCACTGTCAGGAGGCCGCAGCGGCTAATGTCATCAGCCTACGGCGGACACTGTCAGGAGGCCGCGGCGGTTAATGTTATCAGCCTACGCTGTCACTGTCAGGAGGTCGTGGCGGTTAATGTCCTCAGCCTACGCTGTCACTGTCAGGAGGTCGTGGCGGTTAATGTCATCAGCCTACGGCGAACACTGTCAGGAGGCCGCGGCGGTTAATGTCATCAGCCTACGCTGTCACTGTCAGGAGGCCGTGGTGGTTAATGCCATCAGCCTAGGGCGGACACTGTCAGGAAGTCGTGGCGGTTAATATCATCAGCCTACGGCGGACACTGTCAGGAGGCCGCGGCGGTTAATGTCATCAGCCTACGCTGTCATTGTCAGGAGGCCGTGGAGGTTAATATCATCAGCCTAGGGCGGACACTGTCAGGAGGTCGTGGCTGTTAATGTCATCAGCCTACGTTGTCACTGTCAGGAGGTCGTGGCGGTTAATGTCACCAGCCTACGCTGTCACTGTCAGGAGGCCGCGCGGTTAATCGTCGCCTACCGTCACTGTCAGGAGGCCGTGGCGGTTAGTGTTACCAGCCTAAGCTGTCACTGTCAGGAGGCCGTGGCGGTTAATGCCATCAGCCTAGGCTGTCACTGTCAGGAGGTCGTGGCGGTTAATGTCACTAGCCTAAGCTGTCACTGTCAGGAGGCCGTGGCGGTTAATGTCACCAGCCTACGCTGTCTGTCAGGAGGCCGTGGCGGTTAATGTCACCAGCCTAAGCTGTCACTGTCAGGAGGCCGTGGCGGTTAATGTCACCAGCCTAAGCTGTCACTGTCAGGAGGTCGTGGCGGTTAATGTCACCAGCCTAAGCTGTCACTGTCAGGAGGTCGTGGCGGTTAGTGTCACCAGCCTACGCTGTCACTGTCAGTAGGCCGTGGTGGTTAATGCCATCAGCCTAGGGCGGACACTGTCAGGAAGTCGTGGCGGTTAATATCATCAGCCTACGGCGGACACTGTCAGGAGGCCGCGGCGGTTAATGTCATCAGCCTACGCTGTCATTGTCAGGAGGCCGTGGAGGTTAATATCATCAGCCTAGGGCGGACACTGTCAGGAGGTCGTGGCTGTTAATGTCATCAGCCTACGTTGTCACTGTCAGGAGGTCGTGGCGGTTAATGTCACTAGCCTAAGCTGTCACTGTCAGGAGGCCGTGGCGGTTAATGTCACCAGCCTACACTGTCACTGTCAGGAGGTCGTGGCGGTTAATGTCACTAGCCTAAGCTGTCACTGTCAGGAGGCCGTGGCGGTTAATGTCACCAGCCTACACTGTCACTGTCAGGAGCCGCGGCGGTCAACGTCACCAGCCTGCGGTGGACACCGTCATCTGCTGTCACCAGGACCTCGCGCCTTGCTTTACGTGTGCTAAAAGTGCTTTGGTGGTCCATGTACGATACCGAGACCTTAAGAGCATACATGCCAGGCTTTGGAGGCCTATTCAGTCGCAGGAATGAGAAGCCAAGCCAATGGATTTAAACAAAGACATCATACCAGCAGAAGGGATCAGATCAAAATAAGGTCTGAATTCCATGATACATGGCTGCATAAGCGTTATCTATGATGTTGAAAAGATATTAGAACGAGGCGTTGACAAACAATCGTCTTAGCAGTTTGGCCGGACTCAACAACGTACCACCATACACACCTTTCAGAGCATGTGATAACCACAACGCAGTGACCTTCTGCATGCGTTAGAAAAATGTCGATAGATAATTTTTTTCTACCGAAACTTGATTGATGCCGTGTGGTGTGGTGCGGTTTAGCATTTACAATAAAATTATTTGCTCCCTGAATATATCAGGTGCACGTTATCACCTGTGCCTCCACAAAGTGAAACCATGCAATGTGCGTCCAGTGAGAGGTGGACTGGTCAATGCTTTTCAGTTCAGTTACCTGCCATATACCGTGTACGCATTGCAAAAGTGCGAAAATACGCCGCTGGCAAAACGTCTAGTGGCTTCCAGCAGCGTACGTCGCTGACTGATCAGTCATCACTCAGTCCAACACCAGTAAGCGACCATTGCCTGCCCCGGCGTCTGCTGGCGGCGCTGCCGGGTGCAGCCCATGCCCGGGCGCCGGTGGGGGAGGGCTGGGTGCAACCGTGAGGCGTGGGATGGTGAGCGCGCCATACGACGGGCGGAGGGCGGCGCCGCGCCGCGACACGTGCCGCTCATGCAGTGGGATGTGGGTGGCAGGGCCACTCACGGGCGGACCGCCGGTCCCAACCTGTTCTCGGAACCGCTCGTCGCACGCAGGACGCACAGACATGGACATTAAGCGCTCCCGCCGCGGCTAAAAGCAAAGAGAAGCGCTTCGGAACACAGGACATGAGGTCGGCGGGGTCATCAGACGGCCGCCCTGCGGCTGACGAAGCAGCGCGAGAGCCGCAGCACGACGGCCCGGCAGCGTCATGTCGAACTAGCACACTACCACCGGAACTAAACTAAGCACTATGGCATCAACAATATCAAAGTATTAGATCACACAACTGAGAAAGCGACGCGTTCGTTAATCAGATGAAAGCCAGCACATTAAGAAAATCTCATTTTGTTAAAAAGCACATTGCTGCATGAGAAAGCAAAAACCTCATTTGCACAATGATACCGGATGTACCAGCGGCCGACGGGCACGCCTTCCTTCCATTAGTAAATCAGCTAACTGTGCTTTCTTTTAAAAAAGTAGAAATCAACTCAGCGTATTTTCCCTCCCGCCTCCCATTTTAGAGATGATCCCTTTTTGGGCTGCATTCGTGTTGGTTACTATATGTCGGGGACATCTAACATCATTAGCGATGCATTAATGCAATGTCCGTTGACATCCCAAAATGCAGCTGGCATTCGAAATAAATGTACGGCTCTGTAATGTTCTCAATCGTTCTGTGCGTAACTACCCCCTTCAAGAGATTTATTCCGACTTCTAAAAAAGGGTACCACCAATTCTCATATAGCCATATGGCGTTTAAACAGTGGCGATTCTAAGTAGCGGCTTTTTAATCTCTACAGAAGCAGAACGGCGGAAATACTTATGCCCTTACATTTCTTGCTTGGGAACCCGGCGCCGTCAGTCCTTACCAATATGGTCTTTAGTACCCACACCATGCGAAGATATGGTGCTGACAACATCCGTCTAATACATCAATGTTAAACCAAAAATTTTCACAAATTTGCATCCTGAAGAGCTTGCTGGATGTTCATGTCAGGTGGCGTATCGTGGTCAAGCAAAAGTTCAACGTTTTTCAATCAATATGCTTGGAACCAAACGTCCAGCACACCCGTATCGCATGCTGACCAGATTGTTGCACTTAATGTTCAGAAATAGCATAGTGCAAAGGGTGAACCATCGGAACACCGAAAAACGTGTTATGAATCGGAGAATGCGGTGAATCCAATACATCATCTAAGCGCTTCTCGTACTGTTTGCAGATAATTTCCACATTCGGTCCTCGCTCCCCATGGAACGCTTTTACAGCCGGTGTGTGAAACATCCATTGAAGGTATGATTTGCCTGAAGGTTTTATTTGCCTGCCGTGGAAGCCAGGCGACGAGGAAGTGATGCCGATCGCTTAAGGCCCGATCGCTGGTCTGAATCGCTGATCGCTGAAGTTGTGATGGCCGCGCTGGACCCGTGCGCAGCTGTCCCGGGGCTGGTTCACTCGCGCAGCCGACCACCTGCTATTGCAGAGCTCACACGACTGGGCCGGGCACGCGCTCACTTCCAGCCAACAGCCACTACAGCAACGCGCGAGGCGACGCCCAGAACAAACATATTCAAATTTAGATTGCTAACGATGCGGCTGATGAAAGCACGTGCTCGATGCCTCGACCCAGTTCCAGCGCGCCGGTCCGGGACGCGACATTCCTCCGGTCACGACGACCAGAGGTGACAGTTGGTAACCGACGCGCCGCAGCATCCCTCACAGCGGCAGACGGCGCGACGAATATGGCAGCGCTCCGGGCTAGCTAACAGCCTTTAGGCCCTTCACACTAATCCGATCTCTCTCATTGTTTCCGACAGCCCGATTTACAGGCGCCTCTCCAGTCGATATGTTCTCGTCGTGTTTGCTAGTCTTGGCCGCCGTTCGAGATTCCCACTTTGACAGGGCTAGAAAATAAGGCACGTGAGCTCCTACAGAGTCGCGGCACCGGAAAGGATATGCTCGCTCGCAGGGCATGCCAGCCGTCTCCTTTAGTCTCACGGGCTTTGATTGTCAAGCCTCTGAAAGGGATGAGCCCCACTTAATATTTAGGTTAGGATTACGCCGCGCACTCTAGTTGGTAAATGCCATAGAAACCCATCCAAGGGGATAATCGACCGCTTCGAACGACAGTTACA